TAGGGCTTAGGGCTTTGGGTTTATAGGGCTTTGGGTTTAGGCTTTAGGGCTTTGGGTTTAAAGTTTATAGGGTTTACAAGCTTCCTTTTATCATAATTAGTTGGGTAACATCTTATACTTGTCTGGTACTCAAACCCCATATGAAATAGGCGTTTGAATGCTTAGTATGACCCAAACCATGAAGTAGTTATGGGTACCGTGTTCTATCATAGAGTTGGCTTTAAGGCTTTAGGGTTCCTGGACCATAGACAAAAACTGTCGTGGAGAGCCTGCAATCACAAAGACGAGCCTTGTTTATTCAAAGCGGTCGTGCGAACGTAGGGGTAGAGGGTAGAGTTTGAATTCGGTTCTTGGTGAGCTTCTGGCTTGAGCTGGGGCGGCCGTGCTAAGGGATGAGAGGCGCAACACCGCTCCCCACGGCATAGTTTCAACGGTTATAACAGAGCACAAACTCATAAACACAAAGGAAGAAGTACACGGGTAGTTTGAGCCACTGGTATGCCCTAAGCATTACGCTTCGGGTATTTTTCACAGCGTTGGTTCAAAATTCAAAGACCATGAGACGGACATTCGGAGGGTGGTGAGTCTTTAGCTGAGGCTGTCGCGGAGTGCCCTAAACCCTAAACCCTAAACCCTATTGAGAGTACGTACTAAGTCTGACCTTCTCAGCCGGAAACCTTTGGTTCTTCTTGCACTTTCACCTGCGAAAAGATCTCTACCATCTGGGCTAAGACGGGGCTTTTTGCTCGAGATTCTCCACTTCAAAGCCCTAAAGACCCAAGTTTCAGGTGAACCCTTACAGCCCTAAACCTCAGGGATCCTTCACAGGGGCCGGGGTTTGGAGAGTAGTCATGATTAGAATCAGCTCTCGCCGCAGGTTCGGTCAAGGGCTCCGCAGTAGCACCTCCGGCAGAGGGCCCGCAGCTTTCCCGCAGTTTGGGGGGCTCAGGGCTTGGGGGGCTCAGGGCTTCGGGAATTAGGGCGTCGTGCTTAAAGGGTTTAGGAGTTTGGGTTTGGGGGTTTGGGGTTTAGGGTTTAGGGTTCATTGGTTTAGGGGCTCAGGGCTTTCGGGTTTGGGCCATTGGGGTTGCGGTGTTTAGGGGTGAAGGGCGTCAGACTGTACTTCGTGAGTTCGCAACTAACTTCACTTAATGTAGGGGCTTAAAGAATTACCAATACTATTTCGGGGGTTCCTTATTATAACTATAGTATAAGGGGCCCCAAAACCCTATTCTAACTATTCAGGCCCCTAGGTTTAGGCCTTAGGATGAGGATGTTATGGCCTCGTTTCGAAGGATCGAATTTGAGCGCTTCGGCTTGCAGGACTTCGAAATTTAAAAAGTGAGGACACTCGTAGCTCTCAGCTTTAATAATACTCCGAAGGTCCAACACTCTGTTGAGCTCAAAGTCTGTAGGCAAGTATATGAGGAGGACTTACCCTAACCCTCCAGGTACCTAACTAAGAGGGTACTAGAGCCCCTAGGGCCCTAGTAGGTACCTGGAGGGTTAGGGTTAAAATCGACTGACCGACTTCGAGTTCAGGGTGGCAGCTGACTACTCCGAGGTGAAGGCCGCAAGCGAAGCCCTGAGCGGAAGCGCAGGAACCCTAAGACTTCGCCGAAACCCGAAACCCACCGAAACCCAACAACCCTAAAACCCATTCTAAGCCCAGAATCTCTGATCCTTTCTCTAGGAGCTTACCATACCGAGGGGGTTCGTAATTGGAACCAGGGTGCTGTCAGGGGTCTACCGCCGGCTTATCGGGCTTTTGGTAACCTTTCCGGTGGCAGTTCTTTTGTCTTTGGGATACTGTTGTCCGGGTCCGAAGGTTCCTTCTTTCTTGGGCCTGTAGACTCCATCTTGGGGGGGGGCGGGGGGGGGGTGGGTGCCCTACTTATAAGCAACCTTAAGAAATCCTTAACTCGCCAGGTACTACTATAGAGGGTACTAGAGCCCCTAGAGCCCTATATACCAGGTACCTGGAGTGTTTGGGAATGATACCTAGCAGGGAATGATACCTAGATCAAGAGCCCTAAACCTGAACCTTCAACTGGGCAGACCCTAAACAATAATCCCCAAACTTGGCACTATCCTATACCGTATAGACCCCTGAACCCCTGAGCCATCCATATAGATAGATAGATAGATAGATAGATAGATAGCTAGATAGATAGATAGATAGATAGATAGATAGGCCACCGTAGGTATTCTCTAAATGAGGGTCCCTTTTAGCATCCGTTTTTTTTTACAGGTGCAGTACTTTTCTGGGGACCTAAAAAGGGACCGTGCTTTAGAGAACTACCCATGTACATATATTTATGTGTTTACTTTTGTATTTGTGTGTCTCCTCAAGGTTCCCTAAAATCCCGATACCCCATGACCCTACCTCCCCTCCAACAGGGACCCGTAAACCCCAAAGACCAACTCCTGGGTTTAGGGGTTTAGGTAGGGCCTCTCCAAGGTTGCTCAACTTCGATGAGGCCGTGGGCAGGATAGGGTAGGATGGGGTAGCATGTAGAGGATCAGCTTCGAGATTTAGGAATTTAGGACTTGCTTTGGGCTTCGTGTTTTGAGTGTAGGGTTTTGGGGTTTAGGTGTTGGTTCAGGAAAGTGGGGTGATTAGAATAGGGTCCTTTTACGGACTCCTACCTTGAAAAGGACAGATAGAAGGCGTGTCAGAAACCGTGTGGGTAGTTTCAGTGGGCTTTTTTTAGGCTTAATGCGGGCATTCTGGGGATTTGTATGGTTTCAGGGGCTGCTGCTGCGAGTGCTAGTGGCACTAGGAAAGGTCCTGAGCAGGCCCACGGAACCATACACCAGAAACCTGAAACACACACACACACACACAAACGCCCAGCCACATGGGATGAAAGTGTGCATTGCCAGGTCCATGGGCGCACAAGCGGAATGATGTGTGGCATTCTGTGTTCGTCCGGTGTGGTTGATTGTAACAACTGTAGAGTGACAAATGTAAGCAAGCAGGAAACAAAAACAGTACTCGAAATAACATTTTCATTCAACACACTAGGATGGATGAGGCGTTGCCAGCAATTGCAGCAGAAGTTCACTACTTAACGGAAGCAATGTGGAAGCACATTGAAAGCATACCCCGGATGGTGGCACATGGGTTTATCATCGCGCAATGTGCCGGCACATTAGTGGATTATTCGGCCAGCACCCGGAACAAACAACACATTGACAGCAATGTCCCGATGTGCCGGCACATTGGGGTACTAAATAGTCACACGGTGCAACACCATGAAGGGACTGTTGCGGGCGACGACTCGCAACCACACAAAACGGACTGTGGTGGGAGGGCTGCCATTCCAAAACCCTCTGGTGGAGCAGGGCCTTCTCACGGACCCAGTGGCCTTCTTGCCAACCTTGGGCCAACCGCCGGGGACCACCTTGTCGAATGCACGTTCCTCTCGCCCACCGAAGACTTCTTATTAATCAAAAGTGCAGATTCAAGATCTAGAATCGAGCCTCGTCGCGGTGCACCTGTGTGCAAGCGTGGGCAGATCGTCAACGGCATCACCAAACTGGGGCAAGTCATGAGCAATATTGGGCGATGTGGCGGACAGCGTCCGGCACGTTCACAGCCGCACGGCATCGCATGGCCGTGCTGAGTAATGATGAGTTGGAGCAGTATCTCTGCCCGAAACTCTTCAGGGACACCAAGATGCGACACTGGATATGACTGGATGTTGCATGGCTTTCGTGGGCGTCAGCATTTTTGTAAGTAGTAGGATTACTAGCTGCAGTAGCAGTAGTAGTAGCAGGAGTAGTAGTACTAGTACTAGTACTTGTACTAGTACGAGTACTAGTAGTAGTAGTAGTAGTAGTAGTAGTAGTAGTAGCAGCCGCCACGGCACTGTGCCGCCGTTGGTATGTCGCAAATTAGACAGAGAGCTTAATCACCCCGCTGCACTTTGAGCTTAACGAACATCCTGACCACCCCAAAACCGTAATCTCAGCGTTTCCGCCCTAGTCCCACCACCCGCAGACCTTAAGCCCTAAATCTTGCACGCCATAAAACCTTATAAAACCTTACAGAAGAGACCCCATAGCCTTCAAAGCCCGCGTGCTGCGCAGGCGGCCGCACGTCGCCGGACCGTGGACGACGACGCCATGATGGAGGCTCAGGGTTTCGTTTCGGATGTGTGGAAGCTTGAAAGTGTTCCGGGGGTTTAGGATTTAAAAGTTCATGGTTTTCGGAATTAGGGTTTGCCCGGTGAGAGTTTAGGGGTTTACAGTAAGGGTTTGTAAGTTTCAGGGTCCAAGGGCTGAGGGCTTTAATGGTTTAGGAATATTAGGGGATTCGGGTTTTGGGTTTGGGTGTAGAAGTGTGTAGAAGTCCAGGGTATTTAGAGTCTCAAAACCCGCAGGAGCATTTGAGACATACATTACGGACTCTACAAAAGGTTCTACAAACGGGCTGCGGATTAATATCGGGGCCTTCGTACTCCGAGTCGGGTTCCACAGGAGTTCCCTAAATCCTGAACCTTAACCCTAAGCCACAAGCCAGGTAACCAAAAACCCTCCTCGAATCTTGATAGGTACCCATGTTGTGCCTTAAGGTTCCTTGCCAATTTTTATGCTTATAGATACCCCAAGACTCTATTCCAAAAGCTCAGGCCCTTGTTCAAGACCCATTTAGTCGCCCTTATAGTAGCTTTAATGCACCCTTTCTTAGGAACCCTTTGAGGCGAAACCTGAACTACAGACCCCAATCAAAGAGCCGTTAAAAGGAAGCCTTGTCTAGTTGTTCGCCTTAAACCCTGAGAACCGCTCGTATCATACATGCCAATGGTTCCTTATTATGCTTGAACTGTAGACACGCCAAAATTCCTGTTCGAATTACTGAGGCCCTTATTTAAAACAAGCACCAACAAGCACGCCAGGAACAGCTTTTTGCTCGCGCGCTAGCGCCCCTCTCCACCGAAGAGGTGGACACGAAAGGTGGGGAACCTGGAACTCTGGTCTCTCTTCCTGTGAAGGGTTCCTGTAGGCCTCCTTCAAGGGTTCCGGTTAGAGGTTCCTTTTAAAGGGTTTCCCATAGTGGTTATAGTGGTAGGGTTGAGGACGTATGGTTTAGGACTTCCTCTTGGGGTTAGGGTTGGTAGAAGGATTAGGTTTATAGGTTTCTGTCAGAAATAATTGGAATAATTCGTAGGGTTCAAGGTTCAGGGATTAGGCGTTCCTACAAGGGTTAGTAGAAGGGGTTTTGAAAGGGGTTAAGGTGTCTCTAGTAAGAGTTTACGGTGTGTGGGGTCTCTGTATATGCATATATTTGTCTATCTCTTGTGTGCGACAAACCCTTTAAATTTCACTTGGAACAACCCGACTGTCAGAAAAAATCCGTATAGGCCCCTGTAAACTTCTACTGTTCGTTGGGAAAGGCCATACAAGCCCGAAAGATAGAACATGTTAAAACCCACGATGAAGCGCGCACAAGTCGTACTTTTGCGGAAGGAAAGCCCTATAAAGTGCTAGAAACCCGTTGAACTCTTTCATAAATCACGGTATCTTTCCACAGACCGCAGAGGTGTTAGAAACTGAACCAACAGGTGTTGATCCTCTCGTATACAGCCAGAGGGTCGTTGGATCCCAAAAAGACCATCCTCATTCGGGTTTCGGGGACCTGTGGACCCTCTAGGATAGGGAGGACATTCACGGGCTTCAAGTGTCGTGATTGGGCTCGGAACCTTCGCAGTGTTGCTTTATCAGCGCGTCCGCATGAGCTCTACAACAGAGTTACTTTATCTGTGACAGTCGTGGGGAGAAGGCTGTAGAATCGGATTGTCATCGGTCCAGGATGGGCAAAACCGAACTACCTTCAAGGACGCATGGATACGCACGGAAGCAACTCCAGGGCCGGCATTCTCATTCCTTGCGGCAGGGACAAAAGCAAAGAATCGCATGGCGCGCTTAATTAGCGCAGGCCTATCAACCCCGTACAAACCCTGACAGAGGCCGCAAAAGTAGGGGTCTGAATGCTGAGCTTCATCGTTCATACGTCCCCTCACCTCCCTCATATCAGTATGTTATTCTCGTTTCATTAAGTATAATATACCCTCAAAACTTTGAAACCAAGACGGGTAGAGATTCAAAATCCAGTACCTCAGCAACAGACCTGAAGTTGACCTTTACATCTCTATGTTGACTTAAGGTAAATTCCTCTTAACCTTTATAGACTTATAAATTTAAGGGAACAACCATTAGAGGATGTTGGTGTTGTGGGGTCTTATTACAATTGGCCATATGGGTGGTTGTCAAAATTAGGGTCCCTTTTTTGGGTACCCTAAATATTAGGTGCCGTATTATAATAAGGACCCAAAAAGGGACCATCATTTTGACAACCACCCCTATGTTGATTTAAGGTAAATTCCTCCTAACCTTCCCTAGGGCTCCAGTTACCTAAATAGTAGGTTACTGGGGTACATAATATAGGGTTAGTAACCTACTATTTAGGTAACTGGAGCCCTTGGGCTTTATAGACTTATAAATGCCTTGTGAACCCTATACAACTTTACACCCCGTGCTAGTGCTGGTTTGCTAGAGCTGTAGGCTCATGTACCTAAGCCCTTAAACCCTAAGCACGACACACAACCTTGTAGAACCCTTCTAGACCCCTAAAGCCTAAAACCCTAAACCTTAAACCCTAAACCCCTATACCCTATCTCCTAAACCACCGAAACCCCTAAACCCTAAACCCGAAGCCCTATTAGGGCCTAGGGATCCTTAGGAGATCTTCGTCAGCCGACTTGTGGGAACGTTATGGAACCTCTGTGAGTACTTGGGAGACATGACGACTACTAGGTTAGATACCCCTCCCTGCACCCCTCTCTGATATGTACAAATACATTTGTATATATATATATATGCATAAAAGAAAAAGGAAACCTATAAATATAAATATATATATATATACATACATACATACATATATATATATATAGAGAGAGAGAGAGGCAGCCAACTTGTAGAAGACTTCAACCGACGCAAGTCCGAGGCGCTGGCGAGGCTGCGCCACAGTTCGACGCTGACTTCGAGGCTGGTTTGTTGCCATGTGTTGCTCTTGAGCTGCTCATGGTGCAGTAGTGTAGTTTACTTCAGTCTTAGTTGTAGATTTGCTTCTTGTTGTTTCTATAGAGCTCCGCTTACGTTGAACGTGCTTACGGTTTCTGTTGAGTTCGTTTTCGTTGGGAGGCTGGTTGGTGGTGGTCGATATGTTTTCCTGTTGCTTGTTCACTCTGTTTTCGCGCGGGTTCAGGCTACAGGTTTAAGATTCTATGGTCGAAGGGTTGCCGTTTTTTGGTCGAGGCAAGCACTCTCACTCGGTCACCATCGCATGTGACGCAAGCGCCGCGACAGTCTAGTAATCCACTGAACACCTCTCGCAGTTGACACCAAGCTTCTCCGGTAGTCGGAACAGCAGCATCGGCTCGATGAGCTCTGGACACCTTGGAGCATTTGAGTGTTGCCGTGCCAGACACAGAGACGGACGGTAAGAGACGAAAAGTGCTTCGAATGGGCCCTCAACATTCCAGAATCTTTGCCTGCCACGGACAGCGCACCCGATAAAACACTGTAACACACCAGCTTAATGCCAGCTAGTCCCAAAAAACATCATAGAAACTCTAGTACACACCCGACAACGCCCTCCACAAACCCACAAAAAGCCCTTACGACCCCCCCCTTTATAATAAAGCCCGTGCCAAAGCCCCTTATCAGTCACCATATAAACCCCTTAGGACACCGCTTAGGAAACCCATACAACAACCCTAAACCCTAAAACCTTAAAGCCCTAAAACCTTTTAAACTCTAGAACCCCAACACCCTGAAACCCTAAAACCCTCAACCCTAAAGCCCTAAACCCTAAAAACCTATCAGGGGGTCCAAGGCCCAAGGGTTCGAGGTGTGCCATGAGCCGATCAGAGCTCAGCCCCTGCATCCTAAGTGTAATGTAGGGGCCTTGATAATTAGAATAGGGTTCCTTTAAAGGGTGACTATGAGGGTTATTATAAGGGTTTAATGTAGGGGCCTTAATAATTCGAAAAGGGTTTTGGGATATGTGATACCTATATAATTATAATAAGGAACCCCATAATAGTATGGGTAATTAGTACGGCCCCCATATTACCCTACTGAAGGGTTCTTTAAGGGTTCATCTCAAGGTTCTACGGTGGTTCAGGGTTTAGGGTTTGCGTGTGAACCCTAAGCCCTAATCCCGAAAGCCTAATAACTGTGTTGAAGGCTCCATCATGGTCGCACAGGGTTTGGCCCAGGGTTCTCGCGAGTTTGGCGCGGAGTGCTGTCTGTCTTGTTTCTCGGTTCTTGTTGGGTCTGTAGGATTTGCAGGATGTTCCTTACTAGGCTTTAGGGCCATATAGCTGAATGGTAAAAATGCCCCCTGGGAGCCCTCACAACTGACAAAAGCCCATTCTATTCATCCATAATCCCCACATGGTGCCATAGTATATAAGACGCTATATAGGCTTATTTGGAGGATACCCTCCCCCCAAGTTTCGGTAGCTGCAACTATGCGCCCTGGTCCCTCCTAAGTGTCGGAGGAGCTAATGCGTCGCTTCGACGAGGATGACCGGGCGACGGCGCAGCCAATCACGGAGACGCAGAAATTCAGGGGAGATCTTCTAATAGTGGGGCCTGAATACTTCGAACAGGGTTTTGGGGTATGTTATATGCGATTTGTAATCAGGAACCCCTACAATAGTATGGGCAGTTATTTATGCCGCTACATTATATGAGTTTGGCTTTAGGGTTTGGGGTTAGGGGTCTCTCCGAGTCTCCCGTCCTTTCGGCTGCAGCTAGACTCTGAGGGTCTAGGGTTAGGGTTTCGGGTTTAGGGGTTTAGGGTTTAGGGTTAGGGTAACTGGTTTGGGTATGTTTCGGGTTTGGGGCTTTGGGCATGGAGTTTGGGCTTTGAAGAGATGTGGATCTAGGAATCCTAAGACCCCAGATTAGCTAAGAGTAGGTGCGACTTATAGACTTTAGACTTTAGACCCCAAGGCAGGTACTATCTGTATACCCCTAAACCCCAAACCCTAGACCCTAAGAAAAGGTACTATCTGCATACTTACATGGAGTCTTTGGGTATCCCATGCTGCCGTCGAAAGCTCGCGCAGGAGCTGGCGCTCGAGAGCCCAGAGGACCGGCCGCAACCCTATAGCCCTACAAGCTTTACTTGGTTAAGGGTTTATGGGGATATTGGGTTTAGTGTTTCTTACTCCGGTGTTTTTGTTTGGCTTCCTGTAGTTTTATATGCAGTCTGAAAAGTGTAACTTTTTGGTTCTGTTGAGTAGGCCTCTATAGGGCCTAGAAACCCTGAAAACTTGCGATGGGGGCCTGCTTAGGGCTCATCGGTTTTAGTTATTTTTGGTTGTGGTTTCAAGGTTCAGGGTTTTGGTCCCAAGAGATTGCTTCTGGCATCTGCAGGATTTAGGGTTCAGCTCGATTTTTCCTGGACGAGCGCGAAGATAGCTAGAAGATAGCCACACTGGCATCGGCCGCAGCAGCAGGTTGACGAACTCCTGAATCTGCCTAACCGCACACACCACTTGGGCAAACCCTAACCTTGCAACCTTAAAGACCAATACCAATGAGATACCGCAGACATAGTACTTTAATGTGAAAATAGGTTTTGGGGATTTTGGAGTGTATATTTCAGTATAGCTATAGTTACCTTCAGAAGAGTACGGGTAACCATTCCGACTCCTATTAGATGGAGGACAGCCCACCTCCTGCTGCAGCCATCCTCCCAGACACCACGCCGGCATGCGGCCAAGAGCTGGGTGTGCTGAAAACCCTGAAGCCTAAACCCGTAAGCCCTAAACCGTCTCAGGTTTTAGGGCTTACAGTGTTCAGGGTTGTGCTTTGAGGAGCTCAGCATCTTTAGTTGGTGGGACCGGGGAAGAGGTGTTGTTTATTCTGATGTCTTTTTCCGGAAGCAGTGTTCAAACCTTAAACCTTAAACCCTAAACCGGGGTTTGGGGGAGTGCCACTTGCTCCAGCACTTTCAGTTGAGGATGGCGGTCTAGTCCCTACACAGGAGGCCTCCAGAGCCCCCCAGAGCCTCATCTTTTGGACAACTTGTTGGGTTTAGGGTTTAAGGTTTAGGGTTACGACATGACGGATATGATAAGGTCCGATAACACGAAGCGAAGATAGCAAAGAAAGGCAGCGCAATCCGGGGCTAGAGGAGGTCGTGCTGCTTTGGACTTTGGGGTTTCCCAAAGATTCATATCCAATAGGGAAAAACATGAAACGTTTGATGTTCTGTACAACCCTGTTGAAGGGCCAGCTGAAGCAGGGGTTTTTCGGGATACCGTACTGAGAACCCTCCTACGCAACCCCTAGACCCCGAAAGCCTACACTGCCTTAAGCCCGTCAACCCTAATCCCCAGACCCTAAACCC